ATAATTTTTCTCTCAACGCCAATGCATGTGTGATTGTGTGAAAAAAATGTGAATTGCAAGTTGTGCTAATGCATGTATTGCATTTTGTTGTTGTTATATTTTGAGCAATTAGGGTATAACTTCACTGGACTACTACTAGTACGTGGTACCTAATGGGAAGACATAGTTAATAGTAGAGTGACGTGTTGCCTTAATTAAGTGTTGGAATCACTTCATCTAATGGACGTGAGCTATTGTATACTATTGTATACTAGCTATAATGTACACGTGTATGCTATTCTATGAAGTGATGTCCTGCAACATGTGAGGAGCAGGCACGTGACACTTGCTGATGCCTAGAGAGCGATGAGTCTAGGGACTTGAGCCCTCAACTCGATGAGGAGTCCGGGCCAAGGGATCCTTTAATGGGAAATTCTCGTAAGATGAAATTACCAAGAACTCGTTGTTTTGCATTTCGTTGGTGCCCTCATATGTGCGGAGGCCCAATCGGGAGATAGCTGGAGTGAGGCTTATTGTGCTGCCGGATCTGGTTGGATCAACATTCATATTCATGAATATGTGGGTCGAAGATTCGAGCTCATATGCTCTATCACATGCAATAATTTATTTTTAACCTATCGGTGCGCCCCTTGTGAGAAACCTCTGACTTGTCAAGACTTAAACCCTATAATTGCTACTTTGGTGCTCTATATTCATAAGTATCATACATTTTTTGTGTTTATTTGCAGTTAACTAAATCACCATAGGGCCGATCTTTCATTTTCGTGAATCGATGCCAATATACCTACCATCTAGCAATTCGCATGTGAACCCTAAATTTCGAACGAACTCAAAGGGAAGCTAACTGTTTGGTGGCGGAATTGGGGGAGGGTAACTTAAGTGATTAGATCAAATCATCAAATCATCTAAGTGATGTATGGATGTACATGCTTAATTTGCTTATTCAAGCTTTCATTTTCTTTTCTCCTTTAAATCTTCCATTTAATTATCTTTAACGAATAGATCACCACATGCATTTCCCTTTGTTAACGTTTTCAAATTTCAAATGTCATCAAACACAACAATAAATCAGGGAAGGAATTACCAAAAAACGGGATTTCCGCGTCTGACATTCCAAAAAGCGGGACTGACAATTAGGTTACCAAATAACGGGAGTCGGAATTGGGAATTCCGACTGGAGAGTAGGCTTTCGGAAAAAGTAAAAAAATACCTAGTCGGATTACCCAATTCCGACTAGGGAAAAAATATATATTTTTTTTTTATTTTTTCTTTTTCATTTCGAATTGGATAGGTGGGCAAAAGGAAAAAATCCCCTAGTCGGATTAGCCCATTCCGACTAGGGAAGAAGTTATTTTTTTTTTGAATTTTTTTTTTATTTTTTCTTTTTCATTTCGAATTGGATAGGTGGGCAAAAGGAAAAAATCCCCTAGTCGGATTAGCCCATTCCGACTAGGGAAGAAGTTATTTTTTTTTGAATTTTGTTTTTCATTTCAAATTACTTAGGGTTCGAAAAATGAAAAATTCCGACGACGGAATTTATTTATTTTTTCGAATTTTGTTTTTGATTTTGAGTTCCAAAAAAAAAAGTGTTAGGGCTAAATTATATCAATTCGAAATTTAATTTTTTTTTAGATTCATGACATATTTTTTAAAATGAAAACTTAGCATTATGATTTTTTTAGTAAGAAAACAAACAAGTTGGCGATCCCCCACCTATCCAATTCGAAATGAAAAAGAAAAAATAAAAAAAAAAATATTTTTTCCCTAGTCGGAATTGGGTAATCCGACTAGGGATTTTTTTACTTTTTTCGAAAGCCTACTCTCCAGTCGGAATTGGGAATTCCGACTCCCGTTATTTGGTAAACCCTAGCTAAATCCCCGTGTTTTGGCAACCCCAACCCCCTTTCCCCGTGTTTTGGTAAATCACCCTAAATCAGGCAACCTAGCTCGTAGTACACGTGGCCATGGGTTAGGTATCCTTGCCAAACACGGTTCAAATCAAATAATCACCGTTCACCAATACTTCTTAGGTTCAAAGAACTGAATTAGCTTGCAAAACCAAATCTCATTTGGTTTGGAATAATTCCGACTAATTTGTTTTAGTCTAATCTGATTTGGCTAGAAACTCAAATCAGTCAAATTATTAACATTATATATGTCATTTGATTAAATATTTGTTTAAACATATTCAAATATGATCTAGTCTAATCTAATTTGGTTTGAAAAGGTAACGGAATGTTGAAGTGACAATCTTAGACAACATAAAAACTTTAACTAATCTTAAACAACATAAAAGACTATAACCACGTTACGCATCCATTTAACATATCAACATTGTTTAATTACATATATCAAGTAAACCAGTCAAACTAACTGACTGATGAAAAATCAGAATCTTCGAATGCAAATATTCAAGATAAATGTGCCTTTATCTAGAATTGAAAAGTGAGTTGATGTATGATTTCACAATGTACATTTGAAAAGCATATCCTCCGTATTATGGAAAAAGAAACGAATCGCACGAGAATAGCACGTGGAAGAGGGAACATAGACCTGTGATGTGTTTTAAGGGTTGATAATCTGGAGCCAGAAGAGGGCCCACAAAGCTGATGTGGCGAAGTATATGTGGTGCAAACTGTTGTTCAGAACTGAACGAACGGCTGACAAGAAAGATGCCAGAGCGATGTAATCCTGGATATATCACATAAATAAATAAAAATAAATACTTATAGATTTTTTGGCAATATAAGAATAAATGAAAATAATAAACATAAGTATTTGTCTGGGGCTATGTTTTTCCCATGTTTCATCTAGTTGACGTGCAGCCGTTGTTTCCACTTCAATTTCGTGTTTTTGTGTTCTTTTCTTGCTATAATTAATTTATAATTTAAATAAAAGAAAATCGGCAGTATTTATTTCTCCGCCAATCAAATACTCTGGTCTGCTTTTTCGTTATCCTCTCCCCCATCCCGGTTTATTTTATTATTATTATTATATATGAAGATATATACAAATAGGTAATAAATAATGTCACTGGATATATCTTTTTCAAAGATTGCCACGTCCTGGTCCCGGTGTAGGTTCTGGACAATAGAGCTAGAAATTAAAGATACGCAACGATGAGGTGTCTTCATGAACTCACAGTTTACAAGTTACAAGAGATCCCTTAATTGCTCGTTATTGCTACCTATCAAAATCTAATCGCCCTCTAATTGATTCTAGTATCATATGAAAGTTCAAATCTCATTCTAATACATCACATCCGAGTAGCTTTAGACTTTATACATCATATCATATATATGAAACTACAAAGATTTTAATTTTACAGATAAATTTTTATCCGTAAATTTTTACATTAGAAATATAAGCAATTTTAAAATTTGGGCTGAGCCGTGACCTGATTGGTCACCTCTCCACCTCTTCCGTGGCTATTATTTGCAACGTTTCCATTCCTCAACTTTTTAACAAACAAGTTTATTACGAAGTATATTGCTATTTACATAGTGTTCCACAAAAGTGTTTAGTCGGTGTTGTGAGCCATCTGAAATGGGAATTGAGATACATGTATCCCTTTTTAAATAGAGTTCACACTTCTTACTAATAATAAATGATCAGTACATCAAATTAAATATTTGTGTACTCGAATAAGTCAAATGTACGTCTATACTAGAATCCCATTTGATTTAATATATAGAAACCAAATCAACATATAACGTTTACTCACTTCTTGATAAAAAAAAATTTACCTTAATTAATTATCAAATTGAAAGGTATATTTCTACGTTAATCTGATGGCTTCTTTTACAAAAATTGTTTTCATGCACGCCCCATGTGAACAAATCATTTTGCATGTGAAATTTTATCTTTAGCAATTAGAAGTAATCATATACGTAGTATGTCATTTTTAAGACGAATTGTCTATACGTGTGATGACTACAAAATTTGAAACTAAACTGTCACAAATTTGATTGTCAGTACCATACTACCACAACATCAAAGACAATTCGTTTGAAAAATGACAAAAGTTGTAAGTGTCACACACAACTTCAACGTGTACACGAAACCGCTTTGCTTCTTACTTGCATGTTTCTTATTTTTTCCTTTTCGATCATCATTTGAATTATTCTTTTTATATTTGCTTTATTAACCGAAAGCAAACTTGCATTTTTTATTGTGATTATTTAGCTACATAATTAGGCCCTTGGCGTTTGTGAAGCAAAAAAAGGACAAGAGCTAAAGAGAAAGGTGTAGTTCGGTGTGGGGTGGTTTGGTGATAAGCATGGCGGGTGGTTGGAGAGATTGCTAGCTAATTTATTTATGATGATAATAATAAAAAATGAATAAATAACAATAAGCTAGTTGTGGTTATTATCTGGAAATGTGGGTAGTAATTTGGTATGTGTTGTCAAAAGATGAGTTAATTTGGCTGAACAAAGTTGGATGGCATTTGTCTATTTGTGACGGCGGTTACACACATAGCTTTCTTTTGGGGCAGAGGACATGTGAGAAACGTTTTGAGCGGCGTTCTTTTCTTTGGGATTTCCGTGGAAGATTTGGGGAAGTAAGACTAGAAACGTGTCATTGTAACGAAAACAAACGTATGGTGGTGCGTATGACATGGATCACTTGTACAAAAACAGAAACATATACGGTTCTTTGAATGGAACTGTTTTCATACCTCTTAGACTTAGGTTTAAGAAGATAAATTACAATAGTAAAAGACATCCAAATTTCTTTGATCGGTCTAAAAAGATAAATCAGAACAAAAAAACATAAAACACGGGACACATGTAACATTAGAAAGATAGACACAAAAAATAAATTATTCACATTTCTCTTTCTCTTTTTACACAGTTTATATAATTATGGTAACTTTTTCACAATAATGTCTAGCCACCCGTCTTAACATTGTGAAAAAAACTTACTAAAAATGTATAGGATCTTTCAATTCAAGGCATTTATATATTGCTCATTAATATTCATATTTTTATCTCTTTCATGTTGATGTATATTATTATACCGAGTATTATTGCATGTGCATTATCCAGCCGTAGAAGTGGACTCCAGTTGGGAACTTTTTGTAAATAATGTTGTTTTAATATTTTGTATTTAATCTCCTCCTAGTTTATAGGATCTATATAGTGGTAGTTCAACCCATACGGTTATGTAGAATTGTAATATATAGAGGTTTCCTCTGACAGATAATAAGAACGAACGATTCTCACATATCCGTTTTATTATGTTACGAATGATTTTACATGGTATCAGAGCAGTGATTTAACGATCCTCTTTACGTTAATCACTAACGGCAAGGATAACGACCGAGAAGACGAATACGACTGGCCATAACAACACGAAGGAGATGTCGAACATGGCACCTGGCTTTACCAAAGACCAGTGGGAGAGCTTTCTGAAACTTGTTGAAAATTGTAAGGGACTCTCAACCGATCATGAAAAACTCACAGGTATGAATATTACTGATTGTGAATGGCTCCTAGACTCCGGTGCGTCGTATCACATGACGGGAAATACACAAGTTTTGACCCGGGTTGAAAAGTTGGCACCTATTCCAGTAACTCTACCCGATGGAAATATTAACCATGCAACATGTGTGGGACAAGTACGATTGAGTCCTAGGGTATCAATTAAAAATGTTTTATTGGTACCGGGTTTGAAGTGTAATCTCATTTCGGTGGGACGGTTAATTGATGATTTGAATTGTGATGTTTATTTTACTAATGATATTTGTGTGATACAGGACCTATCTACGAGGATACCAATTGGAGTGGCTAAACAGTGCGGGGGAGTATACTATTTTCACTGTCTTGACAAGCTACGAGCTCATTCCATCAAAGGTGATCGTTTAGGTGATCTATGGCATTCAAGGCTGGGTCATCCTTCCAAAACAGTGCTACGTCTTGTTAGTGGCTTGCAAAAATCTCCGATTACTTTTGATTCGAACAAAATATGTGATGCATGCATGCGTGGAAAACAAACTCGTGATGTATTTGCGATTAATACTGCTAGAGCAATTGAGCCATTTGAATTGATTCACTGTGATATATGGGGTCCGTATAGAACACCCGCTACTAGTGGAGCACGTTATTTTTTAACCATAGTTGATGATTTTTCTCGTGCTGTCTGGATACATTTGCTTTGTGAAAAGGGGGAAGTTTTTAACGTTCTTAAACATTTTATTGCTATGACAACAAGACAGTTTAATAAACAAGTGAAAGTTGTTAGAGCTGATAATGGTTTGGAATTTCAAAAATTGAGAGGCTATTTTTTGAATGATGGAATTATTTTTCAAACCTCTTGTGTGTATACACCTCAACAAAACGGGAGGGTTGAACGAAAGCATAGACATATTTTGGATATGGCTAGAACACTTCGATTTCATGCACACTTACCCATTCAATTCTGGGGAGAGTGTGTACTAACGGCAGGTTACCTTATCAATCGGTTGCCATCTCCTTTACTGGACAATAAGAGCCCCTACGAATTATTGTTCAATAAATTGCCTTCCTATAATCAGTTAAGGGTCTTCGGATGCTTATGTTATGCACATAATAAAGAAAGAACTGGAGACAAATTTGCACCTCGTGGACTCAAGTGTGTATTTTTGGGATATGCTTATTCTCAGAAGGGCTGGAAGGTGTTTGATTTGGACACTAAACGACATTTTGTTTCACGCGATGTTTCGTTCGTTGAAACGATTTTTCCATTTGCTATGGATAATTTTCCAGATTATTCTTCAAGGAAGACCGATGATACACAGGTGGAAAATTTGGTTATACGGCAGGCTCCTGATGATATGGATACTCCATATGAGAGCACACGTGTTGATCATCCTGGTGTTGTGCATGAAGAATTACATGATGCTGCCAACCCATCCTTATTGGAACAAAGTCAACCCACATGTGAGAGCATTGACCGATCTCAAGATTCTGGAGGAAGTATGGACATTGTACATGGAGCCACTACTGATGATGTGACACGCATGATTGATCATCCTACATTCAATACCACTTCAGAAGACGTCCTATCTCATGCGGGTCAAGAAACATCTTCACTGCCCCAGAAACGCGTACGACGGCCTCCAGCTTGGCATCACGACTATGACATTCAGCTCAATACAGTGAAAATAACATCTCCCCCCGACGTTGGCTCCTCTTCTTCGGTAAACTCAGGTAATCCTTATCCCTTATCTCATTATGTACAATATTCTCACTTTTCGGTCGAGCATCGTGCCTTTCTTGCAGCCATATCAGCTACAAAGGAACCAGGTTCATTTCGAGAAGCTGTTTGTGATCCTCGTTGGAGAGAGGCTATGCAGCGCGAGATATCTGCACTCGAACGCACTGGCACGTGGACGCTTACTCCATTGCCACCTGGAAAAAGGGCGATCTATTGTAAGTGGGTTTATAAAATAAAATATAAATCTGATGGGACAATAGATCGTTATAAGGCGAGATTGGTTGTTTGTGGCAATAGACAGGTGCAGGGAATTGATTATTCTGAGACGTTCGCTCCAGTTGCTAAAATGGTAACCGTGCGTACTCTGTTGATGGTGGCGGCATCTCGCCACTGGGAGCTCCATCAAATGGACGTCGATAACGCTTTTTTGCACGGTGATCTCCACGAGGAAGTATACATGCATTTGCCTCCGGGATATTCTGCATCTACATCCGGTCAGGTTTGTCGTCTTTTACGATCACTATATGGATTGCGCCAAGCTCCCAGATGTTGGTTTTCCAAATTGACAGGTTCTTTAAAACAATATGGTTTTGAACAATCGCATGCCGACTACTCCTTGTTTACTCTTCGCCGTGGAAATAATATATTATGTGTTTTGGTGTATGTTGATGATATTATCACGGGTAATAATCATGACATGATTGTTGCCTTCAAGCATCACTTGGCATCTTCTTTCCCTATTAAAGATTTGGGCCGGTTAAAATATTTTTTGGGACTGGAAGTGGCACGCAATTCTACAGGAATTTTCTTATGCCAACGCAAATATGTTTTGGATATCTTGGCTGAAACAGGACTGACCGGGGCCAAGCCAGTTGGTTTCCCTATGATTCAGAATCACAGTTTACAATCTGATTCTGGCCCACTATTTTCTGATCCGGAACGGTATCGCAGGCTTGTTGGTAAACTTATCTATCTTACGTTGACTCGGCCAGACATCTCTTATTCTGTTCATATTCTTTCTCAATTTATGCATCAACCACGTCAGGCTCATTGGGATGCGGTCGTTCGAGTCTTACGATATCTTAAAGGTCATCCGGGTCAGGGTATTTTACTTTGTTCCTCTTCTGATCTTTCACTAACTGGATTTTGTGATTCGGACTGGGCGAGCTGTCCCATCACCCGTCGGTCAGTTACGGGATATTTGGTTCTCCTTGGTGGCTCTCCTATCTCATGGCGAACCAAGAAGCAAGTTACTGTGTCTCGTTCTTCAGCTGAAGCAGAATATCGCTCTATGGCTACTCTCACGTGTGAGCTTATTTGGTTGAAGAATTTGTTACATTCTTTGGGAGTGGTCCATCAATCTCCCATACCGGTTTATTGTGACAACAAAGCTGCCATTCACATTGCGTCCAATCCGGTTTTTCATGAACGCACCAAGCATATTGAGCTTGATTGCCACTTTATCCGTGATCACATTCAAGCCGGTCTCATCACTCCTTTATATCGGACTACCACAGAACAACTTGCTGATCTTTTTACTAAGGCCCTTGGTGCATCTCAGTTTTCTTATCTACTTACCAAGATGGGCATTATTGATCCTCATGCTCCATCTTGAGGGGGGATGTTGATGTATATTATTATACCGAGTATTATTGCATGTGCATTATCCAGCCGTAGAAGTGGACTCCAGTTGGGAACTTTTTGTAAATAATGTTGTTTTAATATTTTGTATTTAATCTCCTCCTAGCAGGGGCGGATCTAGCCCATGGCCAGGGTGGGCCTAGGCCCATGCTCAAAAAAATATAATTAATTGTATATATATACTATGTATATATTAATATATAGTGTTTTAGTAGTTATGATATAAAAAAAGCTAATGTCAATTTGTTAACATCAGTCAAGTTGGTCCAATGGAAGCACACTAATTATGCAACAAAAGGAGTCAAGTTCGGGTCCTTTGGGCACCATATTTATAATTTTTCAATGCAACATGAGTAAATTTTTTGATACACTGTCCATATTGTTGGGCTTTTGGTAATTGATCTGCAAAATATATATATAGTTCAAATCATTTGGCTTTTGAATATTAGCTTGAAAAATTAATTAATGCGATTTATTAGAATTTTGAATATTAGTCTAAAAATTAATTAGTTCACATCATTGGACAATTGAATATTGATTTGAAAAGTTAATAAGTTCAATTCATTCTGCTTGGTAGGTGAAATTTAATTAGTTTACTTTTTACATAGAGCAGACTATGGAGTCAAAAGAAAATTGATTTTCGAGAAATCAATTTCAAAATTGGTATTGAACACGTCATTAACCGACACAAGCCAATTTCGGTTAGATATCTATGGGTCTTTTAAGATAATTAAATTTTCAGTTTTGTAATATTTATTATTTTTTCTTTGACACTTCTGTAAAATTATATAACTAAATCTTGTAATTTTAACATTTTTTGCAAAATAAATTACGTATCGCTAATTAAAATTTGGCCCCACCTCAACGCAAATGCTAGATCCGCCCCTGCCTCCTAGTTTATAGGATCTATATAGTGGTAGTTCAACCCATACGGTTATGTAGAATTGTAATATATAGAGGTTTCCTCTGACAGATAATAAGAACGAACGATTCTCACATATCCGTTTTATTATGTTACGAATGATTTTACATTTCATGCATCACGGCATTAATATTTATATTTTTATACATTAATTGTGACATTCTTTGAGATGCACTTATGGTACCTAGATATATAATGGTTGGTCAGAAAACTGAGGTGGTTCGTTAAGTTCTGGATATTTTCATTCAAGTCGTCAAAAACAAAAACTCGTATCGATAACATCTTTCGACCTAGTCAAGGTCTTCCATTCTTTCTACTGAAATTTGGGAAAAGGTGCAAATAGGCCCATGTACTAACCAAAAAAGGTCAAATAAGCCCTTATTTAGGAGGTTCTGTCTGGCCGTCGTCATTTGGGGTAGTTCCCGGTGGAATTTTTTGATGAAGTTTTTTGATGATCTTATTCATCAAGTCTAGTTTACTCATACCAAATTTTAGCTAAAACTTCAATCGGGAAGGCATTCAAATGAATTCTTGAAAATAACTGCGCAATTAGAAGCGCAGTTATCTTCAAAAATTCATTTGAATGCCCTCCCGATTGAAGTTTTAGTTAAAATTTGGTATGAGTAAACTAGACTTGATGAATAAGATGTTTAAAAAATTCCATCAAAAAATTCCATCGGGAACCACCCCAAATGGCGACGGCCGGACAGAGCTTCATAAATAAGGGCTTATTTGACCTTTTTTGGTTAGTACATGGGCCTATTTGCACCTTTTTCCACTGAAATTTCGATCCTGTGACCTTTATAGCACTATATATAGAAATTTCTATTCATACACTCTTTTGAGTACACCATTTGTACATCCCATATTGTTGTGGTATAACCAAGATAATTCATAATAAATTGGACAATTAGTAAGAGACTGTTTAAATGGTGTACACCAAAAATAAATTGGGCAATTGGTAAGAGGATAGATGTACAAATGGTGGTGTACACCAAGAATGGTTCACATATAATATAAGTGGTTTAACGGCTGAACACACTGGTGTTCTAAATTATTCTTTGATTAGGTTATATTTAAGACCTACAAATTTAATCCTGACCTTGAGTTTAACCTACAGATATATTGTGCAATCGAAAATTAGACATACGAGCTGATTTTTCATACAAATGACTTTATTGCTTTATATACATAACATGCATAATATATGAAATTTTATATATAATATGTGTATATAGTCTCAGTGTTCAAATGTCATTTATTTAAATTTTTACTTTCATTTCCTCACAAATAATACTGAGATAGTGATCTGACTCATATCATATGGTACTCATTCAATTCAGACCCGGGCCCGTTTATACTACATAAGAATAAACCACACTAAATTGATCTGGACTGGATCACAATAGCAAATTTGCTTCAAATGTGGCCGGCCCAATTCAAATGAGTTAGATCAGGTAAAGGTGTTTTAATACTCCGTATGATACTACTAATTACCGACTTAAGTAATATATTGACATTAAGGTTTTAATATGATGCTACTTTCGTGCAACCCGTCCACTATTCTTTGGAGTCCGGTCAACGTAAATTATTCTTAATCGTTTACTTTTTACATCCAATTTTTATTAGATTTGAGATTTCTTTTGTAACTTAAAAAACATTTCAATTTAATTTTTGAATATGTAAATTTTATTGATTAAAAATAATCTTATTATTGACCGATATAAGATGACTTGTCAGCATCATAAACTGAATGAGTACACATTTATCCGAGATGGAGGGATTACTATAGAACATACAGCGCCGGTCCTGACTAATTATGGGCCCGGGGCAAAAGACAAAAAATAGGCCCTATAGATGTTAGTGCCGGTGAACGATTGCAATATATGATCCCCTACAAAAAGCTCGTGATTAAGAAGCGAAAATGCAAAATAGCAATCGGCCAATTGTATGGAAAGATTAAAAGATATAAATAAATTTCAACTTTATATCCTTAATTAAAAACCATTTTCTAAGTAATATACTAGATACAAGTAAACCCAGAGAGAAAAGGATGCTAAAATATGAAAAAGACAGAAGCTACCTGTCATTGGCTTAGTACTACAAGTAAACCCATAAAGTAATATACTAAATAATTAAAATTATAAATTAATGTAGTCAATTTACATAATTAGTAAATGCCTGTGAGCACCGTGCGGCAGTGCTCGTCCTCGTCTGATGGTTGAATCCTTTGAGAGGTCTAGAGAGGATTAGAGGAAAAGGCAAAAATTAAGAATTTGAGAATTGAGTATTTAAGATTTGAGAGCAAAGAATAACGAAGGCTGACGGTTGAATCAATTAAGCAAAGCGTGTAGTTGATTATAAGAGACCGAAGAGATTCATATGATTTGTATCAGGGAGGCAGAAAGATTGAGTATCCAACGTTTGGGAACTAAATCCAGAATTGGTTAGGATTGGTATTAATGTTTAATTTTCGATTTTTGTGAGGGAGTTCGAAAGTCTTCCTCTCGCATGTGGGCCTTGGCTCAATCTAGAACTACGAAATAGAGATTGATATCTTACCGTATACGACTATACGGAGTACTATTAATTGATTTAGATATTTAGTATTATTAATTTATATATATATAATAACTACTATAAAATCTATGGGCCCCTTTTTCCTGGTGGGCCCTGGGCAGCAGCCCAGGCTGCCCCTATACCAGGACCGGCCCTGAGAACATATAAGATAAAGCATTAATTTGTAATTAATGTATAGTTAAATACTCACACATAATAAGTGTAGTTATTTTATGTGTGGGAAAATCACTCATATACTTGTAGTGCGTAGAATGATTTTAGAATTCATACATTATATGAGGTCTGTGAATAGGGTAACTCACAAGCTTGCTCTAAAATCTAAATGCCCTTTGAAAGTTGGATGGTAGTGTACGTGATCTTGTAACGCAATTTCCCATTGTATTTTATTCCAATTGACAAATGACGGTGATTTAGTACAAAGTCAGATTTCCTTTCAAAATAAACTTTAAAGTATTCAATTTAAGCAAAAGTTGTTTCTTGAAAATAAAACTTCAACCTTTATAAAGTAAAAAAATGAGAGTCTATATATAAATATTAAAAATTACAAGAACTATATGTTGAAAATATATACATGATTTTCTACCGCCCATTATTCATGCCATTCAACCATTCAAAATTACCAAGATAACCAAGACACTTCAAAAAATGATACTCTTTATTGTCTCATATACGCCAGTATATCTCAAAATGTAAATATAACTAATTAGTCATGACTAATTCTAATCTAAATGAAAATCAAGTCAAACCACCGTAGTTTCAAACTGTAAACTACATATACTCAATTCAAGGTTCTTAGAAAGAAATTGCTTTATGAAGATATGACACAATACTCTAATTAAACGAGTAAAAGTTTTAAGAAATATTTCCAATAATGTTATGACAGAACAATTCTACTCTGATTCAGCTCTACTGTCCAACTAAGGATTTAACTTAACAACTGCCATGTTGTACAAAACCTACATATAAAAAAGTTTCTACAAAAATTCAATGCGAGACTAAATAGTTGGACTCTCTATCAATTAGTCAATCTCTTCTCGGAAAGGGAGAAAGCACACTGACCGAGGTTTCTATACACGAATAAATTAAGAGTAGAATTGTTAGATGGAAATTAAAAGGTTGATAAATATAATCTAGCTCTTAATTAGCTAGAACATGCTAGGAATCAATATAATAAATTAATAATGATATGATGATAAGCAAGTACGTACACTGCATGCATTGAGACAATGGGAGATTATTATGTTTGTGGGTTGACTGCAATTAAGATCCGTCCTGCCTTTTCCCCGTTTGTTTGTTCCAAATTTAAATAATTAATTAATAACCCGTTGTCGTCGGATCTAGATTTAATTTCATTTCGCTAGAAAACCCAAATTAGGACAAACCCGATGGATCTGCCGGGCGACCGGATCTTAATTACAATACGTGCATGGGCATGACAAATCAACGTTACTCAACTGCTAATAACGAATGCATACACAAACATATACTATCTCCCCCGGTGTACTTTGCCAAGTGCAAGGTTGGTGAGAAATAAGAATAGTAAAAACTGTGTGGTTGAGATTTGTGCAGAGGAGAGAGAAATGTGAAGAACCGCAAATTAGTTGCTTTAATAGGAAAATGACAAAGTTTTTTGGGACAACCAAAATGACAAAGTTGACAAAGTTCAATGGGACGGGGAGTATATGCATTCGAAATATCATTATATAAGCTAAGGGTCCCTAGGACTCCCTACTATATACCAAGCCAGCTTGCATATTAATTACTGAAACTAAACATATGATATGATAAGATTTTTGTTTTTGTTTTGTGTTTTAACTTCACTCTTGATGTGTCCTTATACAAAATCATCATGTCTTTAACTCCTTGCACCAACTTTTCTTCCGGTGCTGGCTAGCTACCTTCCAAGCTAATTAGAACCAAATTCACCAACATTAATTAATTAGAAAGCTAAAAATACATGCAATTTGTTAATAAAAATAAGAATAGTTATTGATAATATCAAAAGGTTCAGAAATGTAGGTAATGTGCACTATCATAAAATAATAAATGTAAGTTCAAATTGTGCATTATTTAAACCACAAACGTGCACCATTATTTTAATCACAAATATGCACATTTGAAGTACTACACATATATTATTTTAATAATAAATGTACATTTTTGTGAGCGATAATGTGTGTTATGTTGAATTGTTCTCATTTCATGGGACGAAGTGTTCTTACCGCAGCATGACCCTATATAATAAATCATGACTATCATAGTTTTTCTTTTGAAAATATCACTCATTTACTTCAAAAAAATAAATTTACCTAGATTTAGAAATAAAGATTTGTTTTTCAAGAATTTTATTCCTAAGAAAATTTACAAAATGTGATGCCTTATATGCAGTAACTATTGTAGTTAAATTTAGTGATTGTGATTTTTTCAATTGTATGTAACTATGTCGTAGTTACTATGATAGATGTTACCTTCATAGTAACTTTAGAGCCCGTTTGGTAGTAAGAAAATCGGCTTATTTGGCTGATTCTGCTGAAATTTATGAAGTTTTGGCTGAAGTGGCTCTGTTGGCTGAAATGGCTGAAATGGTCATCTACAGTAACTTCAGCCAATACAGCCAGAAAATTAACTCTAACCTTACTTTTTCTGCTTATTACACAATTCAGCGCGCGAAAGCAAAAGTTATGTGCAGTGTTTGGTGAAAAAGTTGGTTGATAAGACTGATAAGCCAGAAAACAGTAGTTCCAAACGGCCTCTTAGTAACACCTCAAATTGTACATTGTAGACTTGTAGTACTAATAGCATAAACTTTTAGTTTAATTTTGATGTGTAAAGTATATTTGCATCACTAACTTGGTGAAAAACTAGGTAACAGAATATGTGCAATGTTTAATCACTAATTTGTTACTCATTTTGTCACTTGCTGTAATGTGACCAAACTATTCACCATAATTTGCTTCCAGGAATTGTGTACACCACCTTAAGGTAGCAAGTGATTTTTTCTCACCCCTTTTCTCTATAATGGATAAATGTGGTGTTCAATCACCATTTTTTTAAATAATAATAACAATAAAATAATCATTAATTAATTAGGACTATAATAGTAGTACTAATTAATCACAAGGTTGATTGAGAAATTGACGAAACAGAGCATGTTTATTGCAGGTGTTTCCAAATAGGCCATATTCAATTTTTTTGACAAAAAAGTGCAAAACGGAGTTGGGTACTCCGAAAATTAAAAGTGTTAGAAAGTTGTTTTGGCTCAGCTTTCCTCATTTCGGATTTATAAAATCCGAAAAGTGCTTTGGTTCAGCTTTGGGTGTCAGCTTTCTTACTTTCGGACTTGGCAACTCCGAATCCAGAGGATGAGATTTCGGGCTCCGTGATTGGTTGGCTACAGATCGGTTTGTTGTTATAAATTGACCTTCAACCTCCATTCTCCCATACCTTCAACCACCCCTTTCTACCCTCCTCTCATCCTCTTTATTGTTTATTGAAAGGTTAGTATCTTATTCATCTTCTTCCTTATTCATTGTTGTTGTTGTTATTATTATTATTATTGATACAATTTCTATTATTAATGTGTGCATATATTTTTTTATGACTTAAAATATTACAGAGTGTCAGATAAAATGACATACTACGTCTCGTATCGGATAAAAAAATACACTTTATCAAATAAAAATATTTTAGGTCAGATAAAATATCTCGGAATACGCACTTATCAACTCCACATCTAACATCATTATTTCCAACTACCCCAAGAATATTACCGGTCTGATAAAATATCTCGGATTACGCACTCATCCACTGCACACCTAACCTCATTATTTCCAACCACCCCAAGAATGTCTCTGTTCAGATAAAAAAATACACTTTATCAGATAAAAATATTACCGGTCTGATAAAATATCTCGGATTACGCACTCATCCACTACACACCTAACACCTAACCTCATTATTTCCAACCACCCCAATAATGTTTCCGTTCACATAAAAAAATACACTTTATCATATAAAAATATTCTGGGACAGATAAAATATCTCGGATTACGCACTCCGTAATATTACGGAGTTAATTGTACGTAGATAATAAATGTAGTAATTTTTTTATTAGTATACTAGTAGTAATAATTGTAGAAAATGGTTTAATATTTCTATAAAAGTAGGTGAATAGAAAAAATGACATAATACGTATTAGTTAATGGTCTAAGAAATTGCTACGGAGTATTTGTTATGTAGTACTCTGTAGTAGTTAACCCATCCTTATCTAAATAAGTGTCTTACTTCCATTTTAGATGTATTACTTGCTACATATTTAATAATTATAGTTAACACTTTGTATTAGATGTACACGTAATATTTGTAAATTTTTATTACAATGCATTGTTATTTATTGTTGTTCTTGCCAATATTATAAATTATGGTATTGTAGAAATTGGTATATGTATTTAAGAAATTCATAAGTTGTTATAAAATATATAAAATATTTAAGAAATTCATAAGTTGTATTGGTAAATATATAAGTCATATTAATGTTTAAGTAGTTATAAAATAATAGTGGACACAAAAAAATATAACGTTAGTTGTACTGTTAAACTACATAAAAATTTGAACACATTTATTGAATGACTTAAAAACATGAAAACAAATAGTTTATGTTTGCTTGTTAATTGTAGGTTTGTAATGGCCGAACGAGTTGCACACCCAGGGCCTCAGGATCGTTCAGTGTTGTTTATGCTACCGGATGAGCATCGTGCCGATCGTGTGTGGCATGAATCATCATTTCGTGACGTCAAACTGAAATGCCAGCACTATTCGAGAGAAGCCTACGTTGAGGAGGGTCCGCGTCATCCTAGGGTGGTACAGTTGCTGAGAGTATCGGGCTTTCATGGTGTGGAGAGAATAGGACAATTGCAGTTAGATTGGTCTCTTGTGACTGCGTTAGTGGAGAGGTGGAGACCCGAGGTACATGCATTTCATTTGCCCTTTGGTGAGGTAGGATTGACCTTGCAGGACGTACAAGTGTTGTTGGGGTTGCCTATTGACGGCATACCACTCACCGGTCCTACGATTACTGAGAAAGCAGCGTTATTGCAGATGTGTGCAGATTCTGTTGGTTTTATACCAACAGATGAGGATTTAAATTCACCCACCATAAAAGTACCGAATATCCACCGCATTCCATTAACTGAATGGAGCACTGAGAACGAGGTGACTCAACACACTAGAGCCCTCATTTGGCAGTTGTTAGGCGGTTCGTTATTTCCTACCACTAGTGGGAACATGGCGAGCTGGTACTTCTTGGAGTTGTTGCAGGGCAACTTAGCAGAAGTGCACCGATGGAGCTGGGGCTCAGCCGTCTTGGCCTATCTTTATCATACCATGTGTAAGGCGGCCAAGGCCAAGGCTAAACAGATCGGAGGATGTCTAATTCTTTTACAAATTTGGGCATGGGAAAGGTTGCCGATGTTTCGGCCCCAAGGTCATCTCCCTTTGGAAAGTATTTTGGATTTCCCATATGCTGCTAGGTATAATATACATAAAGTAATTGATATTTGTATATTTATGTTTTTCATCTATGCTATTTATGTAATTATATTATTATTATTGGAAACTAAATGTAGGTGGGCATGTCATCATGATTAGCAACAAACAAACAGATTTTCGTTGCGGATATACAGGGACCAACTAGATCGGATCACGGAAGATGAGGTATATGTTGTACCAATCAAATGATATAAATTGTTATGTGTGCTTACTGAATGAGAGATATTTTGCAGTTTGAATGGACCCCCTATCCGTTGATGGCCCTGCCAGACTTTTGCCATTTTGCAGACGATTTGTGGGGTGCGGAGGTTCCATTGATATATACGCATATTTCTGAGGCGTACTATCCTGGCAGGTTTTGTCGTCAATTCAACGCATATCAGAATAAATCCAGACTATAGGTAACATTGTAGCATTTTATTAAATCTACTATATATGTTTGTGTGGTTCATAGTAATTATGTAGTTGGGATTAAGATAAAACAATTACTATTAGTATCAACCCCGCCATAATTGCATTCCGACTTACACAAGAGCCAAAATCGACAAACTGCTTACAAGTAAGTTCATCGCTTCTGAAATAAGTTCTACAATTCGCATAAAACCAGACTATAGTATTAAGCTAATAATGAATGACATACACCAAAAGTATAACATTCGTGTTGGATATAAGAAAGCATGGTATGCACGTATATTAGCATTGGAGCAACGGTTCGGCAATTGGGAGACATCGTACAACGATCTCCCAAATGTCTTACAAGCAATGGCGTATACTAACCCAGGGAGCATAATTGATATTCAAAGTGATAACACCAACACCCAAGGAACATATGAGTTTAAATTTGCATTTTGGTCAATAAAAGCGGCGATTGACGGCTTCAATCACTGTCTTCCGGTGGTGTCAATTGATGGAACTCACTTGTATGGCAAGTACAAGGGTCATCTCCTAGTCGCGGTGGCAATGAATGCCAACCGTGAAATCTACCCTCTAGCATTTGGAGTGGTAGATAGTGAGAATGGTGCTAGTTGGAAGTGGTTCTTACAATTGCTTGTGACACATATCATACCCCCTGATCGAAATGTTTGCATCATCTCCGATAGGCATGCGGCTATAGATTATGCATTTCGAAATGTGGAACAATTGGGAACACCTCAAATTCAGAGACGTTATTGTCTTCGCCACATTAGAAGCAATTTCATGACCCAATTTAGAAGTAAACAACTAAAGAAGTTGTGTTGGCGAGCAGGAAGTACCCCAATTGTAAGTGAATTTCATCATTATATGCAACAAATTCGGGGTACTAACGAGAGAGCTTTCAAGTATTTAAATGACATTCCCCAAGAAAAGTGGGCACTTTGTTTTGATGGTGGTTGTCGATATGGTATTTTAACGACAAATCTTTCAGAAAGTTTCAACAATGCTCTCAAAGGATGTAGGACATTGCCAATCAGTGCCCTTGTGCGAGCGACTTTTGACAAACTGGTCCAGCTCTTCGCCCAACGTCGTACTGCTGGTATGATGTGGCAGCAAGCTGGATATCATTTTCCGGACAACATTCGGAAAGAGCTTATGGAGCGTTGGCAACAACGACCTCACACTGTGGTTCTTCCACACAACCATTACACAGGAATTTACTCGGTCTCCGTAGAAAATGCAACACCTGTTACGGTTAATCTATCCAGACGTGTTTGTGACTGCGGTTGTTGGAGGATGAACGGAATGCCATGTGTCCATGCACATTCTGTGTGCCATTTTCTAAATTGCAGTGTTGATTATCTTATTCCTGAGGTATACAAACTGAGTTCTTACATAAATGCACATTCCAGTGATATCATGCCATTTCCGAATATGAATGAGTGGCCGCAAAATGAGTTCATTCTTCTTCCGCCTAAGTACTCTTCCAGAACTTCTCGAGCTGGGCGCCGTCAAGAAACAAGATTTCCAAATGAGATGGATATGCGTCCAAGACGAAGAGGACAACATGATTGATTTGTATTTGTACTCTTATAATGTAATCTGTTTTTGTACTTTGTTTTAATGTTTTAAAATATTTATTAGCCATATGTTTTATATGTACCTTTAATATGACTTATTGTGCAATGAACTTTGTTTTATTTTGAATTCGTATGACTTTAATTTATGGGTCACTTATAAATTATACGTGTTATATTGTAAACTGTATTTGTATTTACTTTGGAGTTCATAACATTGAATGGGTCAACTATTTTTAAAAATCGTCAAATTGATTTAATATATTGATACTTTTAATCAATGTAGTTTGTTCTTCTAAATATATTAACATATCGATACTTTTATCATCTTTTCCGGGTTCACAATATTTAATGGGTACGGTTTTATAATTTGAATTACGTTCAAAACATTATTTTGTTAATGTAAATGTAACATATTTTTTACTATTTGTGCTCAAAACATTTAATGGGTCACTTTTGTAAAACGTATGCTAATTTATTTTAATGGGTCAAATTTAAGTAAAACGCATGTTTTTATCTAAATCGGGAATCACACGCAAATTCAATTAAAATACAACTATGGTATGATTTTTAATTACGTTGAACAATATACTCGTACGATTTATACGTTTTCAAAAAAAATTGATTTATAACAACAATTTTTCAAAAATTCAAAAACACTAAAATTAAGGACACTAAAATTGATTTATACGTTGAACAATTAAGGACTCCTATTTTCGGATTTGCTAACTCCGAAAATGAGTTAGCACTCGGAGTCCATTTCCGAGCTTAGTAACTCCGAAAATGAATTCTTCCTACCAAGCTAAATTCGGAATTCTTCCTACCAAGCTAAATTCGGACCTGCCAACTCCGTTTTGCACTCTCTCGGAAAAGGTCAGAAAAATTGCACTTTTTGGAATGCGATGTAAAAAAAATGCTCTTTTCCGTCAAACACCCAGGTTGATTGGACTATAAAATAAATTTAATAAAAATAGTAGTACTAATTATGCACCACTTTTTATGGTGTACTATACAATTTATTTTTATTCAATTAAATAGGACCCTTTTTTCACTTGATGTCTACGGTCTACATATAATGAATGTGAATATGTGGTGTTCATAATTAAGGACTCCATTTATTACATCTTAGAGGCTTGAAGCTAATATCTTTTACAAATTATATTTGAAAATTGCGGCCCAACTCAGTATATTTAATTATTTATAGTTAGTTAGTCATGGAACTTGAGTGATGGTGGGACATATATAAACAATGCATCATATCATCGTTGTCTACTACGCCTTCAAGAGTGGCGCTTGTAATTCCCAGAGCTATAAAAGTAGCAACGTGAGATGTTGGTAAGGGGCTAAATCGACGGCATATTATGATATATAATATTATAATATTAAATATTAATAATTATTAATACATAGATATATGAATTTGAATAATAATCACAAGTGTTAGGCTGTGTCGTACCTTCTCTTTAATAGTGTCATATAATAATGATCATGAAGTCAAGACGACCGGATTAATTGCTAGGTCGGTGGACAACCCACCATATCATTTTCTATTGTGGCAATTTGAATTTGAATTATAATTTTCTATAATTAAAATTACTCAGTCTATTTTATACTCTTTCATATGAGTGGTCCTTGCTTGGGATTATCATTCCCAAACTAGACGGATTCAACTCCCATGAAATTCATTTATTAGTACATAAACTTATGGTTTAAATGGTTTGTGATGCCATCGATCTCTAGAGAGATGAAAAAGAATATAGCTAGGCAAACACAATAAATCTAATTAGAGTGGTGGAGCTAGGTAAGATGATACATTGGCATTGTAGGTATCGTATAAAGAATTTTCTAAAATCTATTTACTCCCTCCGTCCCATTAGAAGGTTCCTCATTTTCCTTTTTTGGACGTCCCACTAGAAGGTTTACATTTCCATTTTAGGAAATAATTAACAATATTAAGTGACAAAATAATCATTAAATATTAAAAACAATACATTTATAATATCGCACTTATCAATACTAACTACATTATTATATATAGCTATTAAAATTATTTCTCAAGATATACTCGAAATATTTTATTTAATTATTGTCTAAATAATCGTGTCGTTTTGCTATGGAAATCTTCTAACGGGATGGAGGTAGTATATATGTCTGTTATTAATTTATTGTAACTGAAATTATGGTAAATTGGCAATCGTGTCCATTTTGTTTTTTCCCACTGACTTGATTCACCGTTTTTTATAGCATAGTTTATTTACATGAATTTACTTTATACTTCATATTGTTTACTCTGGAGCATTAAATCACCAGTGTTGACCCTCGTTTACGGTGCAAGTACATAGACTTGCAAATTGCGGTACATGTGGGAATATATTTTGTTACTATAAGAGCATCTCCAATGCAAGGGTGTGGTCTCTTACACACCCTTACACATGGGTCCCATTTTTTATCTCACAAATTTTATGTGTAGGACCCACATATTTCCCAATTTATTTTCATTTTCATTTTTTTATATCACTTTTAACCCACTTTTCATCAACTTTTCCTCCTCGAATCCCGTGTAAGGTCCATATATGGACCTTGTCATAGACCTTGGTCCATTTTTACCTCTATCTCTCTCCTCTTTTTCATTTTTCCCTACACACCACTTCATCCCAATATTTATTCTATCTCTATCTCTCTCCTATGCCACATCACATGCAATGCACCCTCCCATTGGAGATGCTCTAAGAAACAAACAAAAGATGATTGACAAAATCATTGAGTGCCCTGCCTGGACTTTGATTGACAATGTGCACGTGTTTTGGTCTTCTTAATCTTCAGATTAAATACCCGACTTCAACTTGAAAAACTCCCAAAAATATCTCACCGAACTACAAATAAAAGCAAAATACTTTTTCAATAATTTATTTAACTAATTATGTGATTGAATTTGGAGTTGGAATTTTACAGACATAAACACACTTCATTAAGAATGTAATCAAAAAATTCCATCAAAAACTATCCCAAGAGGCAGTGCCCGAACGAAGGATTATGCCCGAACAACTGGACAGATCTTTTCAGTTGAATTTGTCTTTTGACTGTCCCAAAATTAAGGATAACTTTCTAAATGATTTTACCTGATGTTGAGTTTTTAATACTTCATCATTTGTTTTATTTAGATTTATAACTTGGGATTAGGACAAGAATGTTATCAAAAAATCATCGGACAAAAAAGATGTCCTCTTTTTAATTTCCGAAAATAAGATTAAGGGTTTGTTTGCAACAGCTTCTGCTTTTAAAAAAGTGCTTTTTTAATAAAATGAGGAGAAGTGATTAAATAAAAGTTAATAGTGTTTGAGAAAAAAAAGTGATTTTGAAAAGTAAAAGTGGGTAGTGTTTGATAAAATAAATGTTTTTTGTGTAATAGAAAAAGTAAAAGCACTTTTGACGCGGAAGCCGAGAAAAATAAAAGTTGTAGTGTTTGGGAAAATAAGTATTTTTTTAAAATCAAAAGTTGAGAAATGCTTTTTTAAAAGGAGTTGCAAACCAACCCTAAAAACAAGTACGAAGTATGAGCTAAAAGAGCCTTCTTGGACAAGTGCAGACGTGCAGTCATGCAAAGGTAGAATCCAACCGCTGTGAAAGCTCTTTCTGAAATTCATAACGGGTCCAATATTTCTTCTATGGAGTGTTAGCGAAAGATATCAGAGAAATGAGTTTGGAGTGTGACTTGTTTTTTGTATGATAGACATTCCTGGTGGTCAATCCACCTAGTTGTATTGTTGATACTTTGAACTTTGATTTTACTATTTATTGATTGACATATCAAAATATCAAATATAGAGAATATATCATTTGACATAAAATTGCTGTCAAGTGCATGTTACCTCATTACTCAGTAGCTTCAATAGTTCAATGATACAAAATAAAATGAAATTACATCAAAGTGATAAGATTTCTATGCATATTTGAGACCATTTGTTGCCAACCTTTACCCTTTTACTAGGAAATGGGATATATCAACCAGCTAGTTCCCAGTAAATATTGACACGCATGGGATGGGATTCTTCTTTGATAAGTATAGAGCATGCCAGCAGGCAGTAGCCAGAAAACGCATTATAGTTTGGTTCTCTTTAGACTTGCAGAATTTGAGTATCTAGCTTTTTTGTCGCTCTGCGGCCTTTCTCAGTTTCTCCAATACTGAATCTTCAAACGCCTGATATCCTGCACCAACAAGTTTGTCCTCCACCACAGGTGCTGCTGACGGTTTGATCGTTGCGAGTGGCACAACCAAAAGAGGATTAGAAAGGTCTCCCAAAACGACCCCGCAAACCAATTCAACAGCATCTTTGGACGCCATAACAACAAGAGCCGACCCTTTTCTCTTAGAGCTTCTTATCACAACGTCTTCCACCTCACCAAACTTCCCAAATAACTCCCTCAACCGTTGGGCAGTATAATCTACCACGCCAACCTTATCCCAAGAGACTTTAAGCACCTTCTCTTTATCTACACTAACAGCCCCCTTACTAGTAGCTTGGGCGTTACCCCCTGATACTCTCTCTTTCACCAAAGTGGAGGTTTTATGAGCATGCATTGCGCGGATTCTTGCAATTTCCTCTTTGAGTTTTTTGGCGATGCGCTCTTCATCTTCTCGGGCTCTCGTCGCGTCATCATCTGTTCGGAAAGCGGAACGCTCTCTTGCATCAAGGTCTGACATCATCTTCTGGCGCTTCGCATCTTGGTGAGATTGGCGTTTTGACTTCTCTTGTTTAACCCGGAGTAGATCGTCAAATAGTTTCCTAGCTTTCTCGTCCTTGAGAATCTCGTATGAAGTTTTCAGCTTTTGGAAATTTATGTGTGCATTTGGATCATCAGGTCTCTTGTCGGGATGCAATTCCAATGCTTTGGAACGGTACGCTTTGGATATCTCTTTTTCAGAAAGCTTGGATCCTTCTTCACCAGAGGGTAAGCCAAGAATATCATAATGGTCGATGTGAGAATCCATGTTGTCAGATGTTTCCTCAACTGCAAGCAGATCTGAACAAAAAAGGTTTACTTTAAATGTCATACAAAGAATTTGAGCAAATAATTCCTTCAAAAGAAGTCTCTTTTATAATCTTATATATTATCCTGACATTTTTAAATGAA